TGAATATCTGGAGGAAAGTCATTCCAGTCAAAGGCTCTGAGGTGGGAGTGGGGCTAAGGAACAGCAGGGAGACCAATGTGGTTAGAGCTGGGTGAGCCAGGGAAGAGTGATGGGACATGGAGTCAGAGAGTTGATTGCGGGGTGAGACGGCGTAGGACCTTGTAGTGAGTGAGATGGGAAACAGTTGGAGGTTTTGAACAAAATAATGATAAGATCTGACTTAGGTTTTAGAAGAATAACCCTAGCTGCTGTGGTGTTGAATAGATTACAGAGAGGCAGCAGAGAAAGCGGAGAGACCACTCAGGAGCCTATTGCAAAGTCCAGGTTAGAGACATGGTGGTTAGACTAGGAAGGTTGTGCTGGAAATGGCAGGATAGAGTCAGGTTCTGGATATATTTTATAGATAGAACCAAAAGGATTTTCTAATGAATCGGATGTGGGGTGTGAGAAGAATTAAGAAGTCAGTGATGATTCCATGTATTTTTTGTTTTTATTTTCTGAGCAAGTAGAAGAATGGAGTTGCTATTTACTAAGATGCGGAGGAGAAGATTTTGCAGGGAAATGAGAAGTCTGGTTTTGGACATGTTATGTTTGAGATCCCATTAGACATCCAAGTGGAGATGTCTAGTAGGTAATTGGTCATAGGAGTGTGGAGTTCAGGAAGCAAGTTAATTATAAAATAGGCTGTCCTGGAGCCTGAAGATTCAGTTCATTCCACAAGCATCATACTGCTCTAAATAAGATGGTTGGGATGTCTTCAAGATCTTTGGAATCTACTGAGCATCTGAGGCATGCTTTGATCCAGGGATTGCTTGAACAATGGAAAACTCTAGTCTGTCCCCCAGGTCCAATCAGCAATTCATTTATTAAACAGTGTTTATCAAGTACGTACTGCATGCCCAGCACTGTGTCTGGTGTTGGATAAACAATGGAGAACAAAATACACTTCTTGTCCTCACACAATGTTTAGTCTTTTAGGGGATTAGGACAAGAGAATGGAGATTTCAGAGCAATGTGGTGGGGTACAGGGTGCTATTGGACGCAGAAGAAAGGCACCGAATCCAGTCTTGGAGGCAGGAAAAAGCTTCCTAGAGAAAGTGCTAAGCTGACCCCTGAAGGATGAGTAAGGATAGCCAAGGTGAAGGGGTGAGAGGCTGGGTGGAAGAGAGTTCTAGGCAGAGAAAAGAGCATGTGACAAGCAAGGAAAAAAAATTTGTTCAAAGAACAAAAGTTCAGCTTAACATGTCTGGAGTGCAAAGTGAAGGGGGTGGAGGCAGAGAGGCAAGTAGAGTCTGGAGAATCAATTGTAGGCCAGGCCGTGAAGGTCCTAATGAGCAACACTAGGACTTTATTATAAAAACTATGGGAAACCTTGAGTTTGAAGCAGAGGAAAAAGGCTAGGGTAAAGAGTGGATTGGAGGAAGGCAAGCCTGGAAGCAGCTGCACCAGGGGGCTGGTGATGGTGGCCTAAATTAAGATAGTGGCAATGAGGATCAAGAGGAAAACTGGGGCTTATCTCTCCAGGCCAGTTCAATCTTGGATTCTGGCTGTCCTAAAATATCATCTATAAATATGTCCTTATGATGTGAAGCAGGGAAGAGGAGGCAGGGCCTAGGTCTGCTCTGCTTACCCTCAACTAATGGGAGACACCCTCTGAGAAGCTAATTATCTCAATGAAATGAAGTACAAGTTGCCTACATTTTAATAGGGGCCGGGGTGTGAGAGGAAACAAGGAGAAGGGAAGGTCTAGGATGAGATTTCTCCTGGGAAGGACATGCTGTAGTCATGGGGGGTGGGCAGGGACAAGATTCAAAACCAAAAAAGTTACTGTCTTTAAAGTACAGTACATCTTGCTTTTTGTAATGTGTGTGCTGTGCAGTGTGTATTCAGGACAGGACCTGGATTCTGTATGAAGGCATTTGAGTGCTGGGTGTGTGTTTGGGAATGGATGTTTGTGATGGGAAGTTTTCTCTGAGTCTGTGTTAATATGCAAAACTCTGGAATGCATACTGTGCGAGTACATGCCTGCAGTAAAAAGAGATAGGCAGGCAATATATGCTGTGAGAGAGCATATGCCTTTCGATGATCCATGTTCCTAAGACACAGCCTCAAACAGAACAAGCTATGGGTTCTGTTCAAAATTAGAGACCCTTTGCACATAGCAGGCACTCACTATTTGTCAAATGAGCGACTGTTTTAGTTTTATTACAGCTCAATAGTTTTAGGAAATATATAGGTTTGGTTATAAGTTTGAACTAGATGTTTACTTAAGACAAATAAATTCACAGCCAGGCACCAATATCCATTTACAAAATCTGCAGTTTAAACACTACAGTGGAATTTACATACAAGCTCAAGTGCTATCTCCTGTAAGAAATTTTCACTAACTACTATATTTCATTTTCTTCGACAAACATTTACTGAATATCTCAGGCCCATACCCTCAGGTCCTCAGGCATTGGGCTGTTGCTGCCCAAACAGATTTCTCTTTCCTCTGAACCACCTTAGTCTGGGCACTGCAATTAAAGCTTAATTATATGCTGTCTTGTTATTGTTCCTTAATTGTTGCATGTGCGTTAATCCACTTCCAACTATGTTCCTTAGGGGCAGGGACTCTATCGTAAACTTCAGGATAGGTGAGGAATTTGTTGTTAGGTGCCTTTGAGTTGATTCCAACTCATAGCGACCCCATATATGAGAACTGCACCATAGGGTTTTCTAGGCAGTAGTGTCTATGGGAGCAGATCGCCAGGTCTTTCTCCCGCAGAGCGGCTGGGTGGGCTCAAACCCCCAAACTTTCTTTTGGCAGGTGAGCACTTAACCATTGTGCCACCAGGGCTCCTTAGCGGGAAATTAGTAGAAAGGTAAATATATAGAAGTGAGTAAACACCCACTGTTTGAGGAAAAATAAGAACAAAAACCATTTTTGTTTATAAACTTCAATTATATATAGTAGATAATAAAATACCTTATTAATAAGGGAGCATACATTGTGGTTAATTAACTTAAATATTTCTCTAATAATAAAATACAGTAAAACTATGAAAGCAGAAAATTCTAGGGCAGAAGTCTGTCAGAGAAGGAAAATGAAAATATTTTCCACTAATAGTGACAGAAAAGTGTTAAGACTGCACCCTGTCAAAGGTAGAAACTTTTCTAGACCCTGAAAAACAAGGCAGTCCCACTGAGTTCTGGATCTCACAGGTTTCACTGTATAAAATTCTCACATGTATTTTCATGTTAAGAAAAGGTTTTGTGCATTGATGTAATTGCTATGATCCTCAGAATGCCATTTTGTTGTTGTTGCCCTTGTTCTTTATGCAAAACAAAAATATTTCCTTGAGGATGTTGGTTAGAAGGTATAACCAGTCTTTGATGAATGATTTGAAAGGCATTACCCTATAGCAAGGTTTCTTAACAGTGGCTCTGTTGACATTTTAGACCAGATAATTCTTTGTTGAGGGGGGCTGTCTTGTACATTTTGGATATTTAGCAATATCCCTGGCCTAAACCCACTAGAAGCCAGTAGCAGCCCCCTCCCCAGTTGTTAAAATCACAAAATGTCTCCAGATATGGCCAAATGTCCTTTGGGGTGGGAGCAAAGCCTCCCTCCAGCTGAGAACCACTGTCCTATAGAAATTTTGGTTCTATTTAGGTAATTTTCTTTTTTAAAGAATGGTAGGAGATGGGGGAAGGGAAAGAATATTTATTGCTTATTTGCTGTGAGGTAGGCTGTATACTTTTGTTAATTTATTTCATTTTACAGATAAAGAAGCTAAGGTTCAGAGAGATAAAAGAACTTAGTGAAGATCATCAAACTAGTTCAGCAGTTAAATTAGGAGTTCAAGCTAGGCTTGTCTAACTCCAAAGCCTTTAGTTCTTTCCAGTATACCTCCCACCACCTCTTTGCGAGAAAGAGCATATTTCAAATTGAAGGTGAACTGCAAATTCAAAAATTATATGCAAAAATATTTTGAAAACTTCATTGCAGGAGGGGAATTATTACTCTTCTTTTCATTAAATTTTCTTGAATATAAGTATGTATGCTCCCACACATACGCACTGGGGCCCCTTACTACCATTGTGGCTCTGGTCTTATCTCTGAAAAACAAGAGCAACACAATGGAACACCTTCAATTCTCCTTGTTACAAATTATACAAAAGCCAGGGCCTAACGGTGCCAAAAGGAACCAGTATTTACATAAGGACCGAAGGCTAATAGTTAACTTTCTCCCATTAAATCCAGAAACAGTAAATAACGCCTCACTTTACAACTACAACCGAGTAAATCTAGTACAATGTCATAAAATGGAGAAGAAAACATTAAATAAAAAGAAAAACGGAAAGGTTGGTTTTCAACCGCTCCATTCCTGGCCCTCTTTCTCACGCTCGCTGCGGGTCCGGGTTCCGCAGCCTGCGTCCCTCTCACCCCTGCCAGCTCCAAGCCCATGGCGCCCTGCGCTCCCTGGCTCCTTTCCCGCCCTGGAGCGAACTCGGGCTCTCTCGAAGACTGTTCCAGAGCCAGGCCTGGAAAAACAGCAGGAAGAAACTTTGGCTTGGTTTGCGGTTCAGTGAAAAAAAGCAAACATTCAAGTTTGGTTTGGGGCTTCAGCCGCCGGTTCCGATTTTTTGGGGGGAGGGTGGGGTCATAATTCGTCAAGTTCAAGCGCGCATGTGCCTGAAGAGTCGCTCTGGCACTTATTGAGCACCCTCTGTCTACGAGCGGCGGGGGTGTGTATCCGGTAGGTAGGGCGCGGGTGCGCGTGGCCGGCGAGAGGCGCGCAGACCGCGTGCGCGCGCGGAGCCTGTGGCTGGTGGGAGAGGGGCCCAGGACAGGCGGCGGGGGGTGTGTCCCTAAGTCTCACTCGCTCGCGCGCTCCTCCGCTCCCTTCCCGGGCGGGAATCCGGGCCGGGTTGTGGCTGCGGCCGTGTACGTGAGCTCAGTGTCCCGGAGAGGGGGGGCTGGCCGGCCAGGTGGGCGCGAACCGACCCTGGGCGGGCGGTGGAAGCTGAGCGGGACCGCAGGCAGCGCCGGGTGGGCAGGCAGGGGCCGCCAGAGTTGCAGCCCCGAGCCAAGCGGAGGCGACCGCGCAGGAGCTGCCTGGCCCGCGCTGCTGCTCGCGGCGAGGCGAGGTGAGCTGCGCGGGGACTCGCGGCGCTGCAGCCCGGGTACGCGGGCGGCCGGGGAACTTCCCACGCTCTGCACACCCGCGGGGTCCAAGCCCGCGGCCTGGGGGCCTGGGGAGGCCAGTGCCGCCAGGAGAGTGGCGGTGCCTGCGCTGGGTGGGAGGGTGGGGGTGGGGGTTAGGTGGGGGGTGCCTGCCCGCTCTCTCGTGCGCCGCCTTGTTTATCTCGCCGGCCGCCGGCGCTTGCATCGAATCCCTTCTCCCCAACTTTGAGCGGTTGTCCAGAGTCGCGTCACCGATGGAGACTGACCGGGTTAACGTGCCCCTTTCCCGACCCTTTCCGGCTGTGCTGCCAGCTCAGCCCTCCCGGCTCCCCGCGAATTCCTGCCCACTCCACCGAGCTAGCGAGAGCCGGATTTCGGGACAGGCGGCGCAACACACCCAACACCTCAGGGGCTGCTCCCAACCTTCTCTCTCCCTTTCTGCCCACCCCCTCCGTCCCGCGCGGTTTCATCCTGCCTTTCCTCGCCTCTCCCAGGCTCCTTGCCCTTCCTGGCGGTGGCACTGCAGTGAGTGTGGGCATATGTGTAAGGGCCTGGATAGGGAGTTTGTGATCTGTGAACAGTTTCAAAGGCAGCATTTTCTTCCAAGCCTTGCAGTTCAGGGCTCAGCGCCTTAGCTTAAGGATTGACTGAGAAATCTCAGGGAGCCCACCTGCAAAACGGCGGAGAGGTGCTGCTGCCGCCTTTTCAGGCAGCCGTGGCCAATTCCCAGAGGCTTTGGAGCACGTCCACTAGGCAGGCGTTCCCATGATGCCAGGACGCCAGGCCAGGTGCAGGGGTTACCTACAGGCTACCACTAATTTCTTTACATTGTTCTTTCTACAAAAATGTAAATGGTCCCCTTTGTCTCGAAGTAAGTGATCAACAGGTATTGAAGGCCTACTCCACGCTCTGCTAAGGTGTGAAAACAGAAGTTCTTGATCTCAAGGAAGTTGAAACGCAAGGAAACAGCAGTTAAGTTCAACTCCACAGGTATTTTTGAGGAGCTGCTGTGTTTTCAGCACTATGCCAGGCTCTCCGAGAGATGGTAAGAGGCACACAAGAAACTCAAGACTTCAGGAAGCCCACTGACTAGGTGGGAGTGATTTGAGAGCTCAAGTTCAAAACAGTGCGGTGGATGCCTAAATTGGTGTAAATGTTGAGGTGCTGGGGGAATATCAAAGAAATGGTTAGAGTTGGGGAAGGGACCTACAGTAGTCTGTTTTGAAATAAATTATGCATGTGGAGAATAGCTCACTGGTGGCGAGGAAGAAGTAACAGGTGGGAGAGGTCACAAAGGAATTACCAGAGGAGCAGATGTTCATATAGTTATCTCAGGATACAACAGATAGATCAGGTGATTCCCTCTTGGGTTTATAATCTCAAGAAGGAGCTGGAAAGACGTGAGCATGTGAAACAAATTAGACCTCAAGACAGAGCGTAGTTAACTGTCAAAACGCTCGTGTAGAAATAGGTGCTGTTGGAGTTGAGAGACAGAAGCTGTGGGCAGGAGTCGCCAGGACTGTATTCCCAGAGGACATTGTGACCCTTGAGATGGGCCATGAAGTGGGAATGAACATGTCTTTCCTAAGAGACGGGGATGACCTTGACCAGGCCAGGGAACGTTTCTTGTTTCTTGAACAGTAGGAGATAAAGATGGACAAGAACAATGGTAGAGATTGTGAAAGTCTTCAAAAGCCACGCTGGGGAATGGCACTTTACACTGTGTCTACTGGGGAGACGAAAAGTTTTTGAGCCAAGGAATGATGTGACAAAAAGAGTATTTGGAAAGGTTTTTAAAGTAATGTCAGAAGATGAATCAGTTAGTAGACTTTTACAGCTGTGGAGGGCTCAGGGCTTGGATAACTGGAAATAGAAAAGAGGGTGGGTTTTAGAAAAATTAATGTTGAAATAATCTGTTGACAGGGGCAGGGTGAACAAAAATGATGAATGGAAATTAATTCTGTGGAAGCTGATGACACACCAGGGCCTTGTAGCTGCTATGGTTGGTAACTGGAGAAATGGGAAATGTGTGTTTTGGACAGAAGTAATAGATACTCAGGTTGCAGAGAAGTTTTTTGGTTTGTCAAGGCATCCAAATGTCAGTGTCCTGTGAGCAACTGGGGCTATGAGACTGGTGGAAAACCAGGGTTGTATAATATTGGAAAGGCTGTGAAAGCCTTGAGAGGAAGACACTTCTAGGGTAAGTGGAACATGTTGTTAGTAACAGTAATAGGGAGGCAGCAGAGGATGCTATTGAGTGGGGTTGAGGGTCTGAATCAGAGGGCATCTCTTCTGTACTTCCATTCAAATTACATCTCCTGATCCTAAACTGAAGTTGGCAAAGCAATTTTGGGGAACTGGAGCACTGAAGATGGGGCCGCTCATTCTTATCATGAGAATGGGATTGGAGGTTGGAAGTAAGTGGAATGGGATTTGCTAAAGATATAAATTCTTGGGCTTTGAAATAAGTTGAATGGACTCTGCTGGTTTTAGCTCTCCTGTGAGATCTTCAGGCTAGTTCTGGTGCTCCACTCACACGGGAAAGCATCAAGATGATCTAAGGAGTCGGAGGAAATTTTGGGCCTAGGGAATACTGTCTTTCTTAAAGCCAGGTCTGTTCTGACCTCTACTGCTCGTCTATTCCCTGGAATCCTGTGAACAGCAGGCAGAGGGGAGCTGGTGGTATTCTTCCTGAGCTCTGAATTCTGCTTTATTTTTGCAAGAATGATTTAGGATGACTTGCTGAACAAATTCCCCAAGCCTCAACTTGCAACATCTGAGAGCTGGTGAATTTGAAGGATGTTGCAAAAAGTTGCAGAATGGACTGGGAATGTAATTGTGGTTACTTAGCCTCTTTGTTTCTCTGAGATGCACAGATCATTGAACTAACAGATGAGGCAGCCGGGAGTGGGGGAGGTGGTGGGGGGATAAATCAGGTATTTTTTTTCTTTATAGGGAATAGCTGCCTGTCAAAACAATTGCATGGAGCAGTGATTGAACTAAATAACTCATTGTGGAGCAGTGTTTTCTACACTGTTTTGACCATGATGTACATTAAGAAATAAAGTTTACATCATGACTTAGTACACACAGTCATGTATTTAAAAATCCAATTTAAATTCATGAAGTACTACTACTTCCCTTTACTTGGTGCGCGGTGCTCTGATAATTTTATTTTTTATCCTATTAATTTTCATTTAAAAAATACTTATCATGCCCCACTAAATTGATTTAATCACTCTACTGGCTCATAATCTGTATCACATTTGACAAGTATTTATTAAGCTGTTTGTGTGTAGAACTACTCTTACTTGTGCTGGAGGTGGGAAAAAGGATGACGAAGTGATTGAGAATTTACAGTCGAGTTGGTGAGATAAGATATATCTGTGATTAATGAGAAAGACAAGATGATGAAATGACAAAATGAAAAATAAGTACATTTAGGGCTCAGAGAAGGGAATGAGCAACCTGTGCTGGAATAGCTTGGAAAAACTTTTTGAAATAGGGAAGGAAGCCTGAGGTGAACTGCTTGTGGTTTCTCATGGTGTTGCACAGGCAGGAGATGTAGCATGAGTAAAGACGGAGTTAGGGATGTGCACAGTGTGCTTGTGTAAGAGTGAAGAACAGAGGATTCGTGTTAGGGAATAGGGAGAAATCAGGTTGTAAAGGTAGACTACAGTCAAACTAGTGTAAACATTACAAGCAGGTGCCCCATAAAATGTTTTAAACCTACAGATGTGTTATCATTTGGACTACATGAAGGTTTTAAAAAATTGGGAAGATTCTAGAAAACCTCTGGATTTGGGGCTGTCTTAAAGAATCAGATCTGGAAGCGCCCTAGAGCTGAGTGGTGGCTGCCCCCTGTGGATGGGAGACAGGTGGGATGTTGTCTAATTGTATAGTTCCAGCACTCCCTGTTGCCTCTGTCCGGTTGCTTTACACTCCTTGCCTAGTCCTGTAGGCATTTGGGTTTGTGACCTGTTTTCAAGAGGCTAGAATGCCAGTCTAGGGAATTTGAGATCTCTGTCATTGGCTCTGGGTGGCCACTGGAGGATCCAGGTTAGGAGTGTGACATTATGGTATCTGAGATATTTGTGTGCAATGGATTTGTTTTAGGTAAGTCAACAGCATTTGATGAGGAGCTGCTGACTGAATCTTGAAGTATTTTTATGATGATTGTAATGGCACTAATTAGAGAGGGCTTTTACCTGTATTCTCTATAATGAGGCAAATTTCTGGTAACCCCCATGTCTGTCAAACCTTTCCCTTTTTCACTTTTGGCTGGCACAGTGAGATGGTGGCTCCTGGCACATATCCTCTGAGTATGATGTCTGGGTAATAACTTGGTGAGATTTGAGTCATGGCTGCCAAATTCCATATGACATTAGATTTTCAGGAGCTTTGGTTCTGTGAGCCAATAATAAAGGGAGAACAAGAGGAGGGACTGTGTCATTTCTTCTCTTATTTCCTTACCCCGAGGATGACCCCAGGGGATAGGGCTCCAGGATCAGGAGATTCATAATGACCACAAAATAACTGGATCAAGCCCAGGTATTCATCCAAATGACTCTCAGACTCTCAAATGACTGTCTTGATTTTTGGACCAGGGAGTCCCTGGGTGGTGCAAATGGTTCAGCGCTCAATTAACTAACCAAAAGGTTGGTGGTTTGAACTTGACGCAGAGGCACCTCAGAAGAAAGACCCGGTGATCTGCTTCTGAAAGGTGACAGCCTTGAAAACCCTATGGAGGGAGCACAGTTCTACTCTGACACACATGGGGTCGCCATGAGTCAGAATTGCCGTGAGTCAACTGGTTTTGGTTTTGGTTTAAAGTGAATAAGTTCACATCTCTCAGGGCTAGAGACAGTCTGGTTTAACCTGGAGAGTCCATAACGACCCATGATGCAGAGCTCTTCCCAGGTGTACTCAGGTGAGGGGGACTGAACTGTAGTCACCCACCTTT